TTCTTGCAGGAGGCAGCTGGGTTACAAGCGAAGCTCTGAATGAAAGTGAGCTGCTCCCAACAATCGGGAGTGTCTCATTCTGGGGGCACTGTTGCCTGGTTCCATCGGAAGGAAGAGAAGAATGAACTCTGGCTGCCTTCTCAGTGCCAGGCACTGTGCTTAATGCCGGACTGGTCAGGCCAGCCTCACGAGCATGGGGACTGTGCTCAGAAGGCCTTGTGCTGGCTCCACGCTCTGCTGTCCCCATCTTGAAGCTCTTTAATAACTTGCGAACAGGAGGCCCCCTGATTTCATTTTCCACCTGGCTCTGTAAATTATGTGGCCATAATTTGCACAATCTTCTTCACGTTGGATGATCTCATTTACTCCTTATAAGTCCTCTGAGAGGTAAGCGTCATCATGTCTCCCTTTGATAGAGGAGGACCGGGGTCTCAGAGATGGGCAGTCACTTACCCAAAATCACACAGCTAGAAGGGCCTGAGCCAGGATTTGTCATCAGGTCAGCCTGACCCTGAAGTGCATGATGTTGGTTGTACTCAATAGTTTATAGCGTGTTCCAGTCCCTGGGGGGCCTTAGCATGGGGAGGATCGTCAGGGGACTGAAGGTCCAGGAGCAGGAGAGTACATACCCAGCCCAGGGGGCACGTCATGTGTGCCTGGTGGTTTCTGGCGGTTCACCGTTTTATTACACTTCCTCCTTTGAGGGCGCGCCAGGCCACAGACTGAGTCGGGGGGGTGGGCAGGACAGGCGTTTCTGCTAAAGGACGGCAAGAAGCGTGGTGCGGTCTGGTCTCAGGGCCAGCTGTGTGGTTCTGCCTCCGCACCCGCAGAGTGCTAGCGCCCAGCTCGTCTGAGCTCCTGTGTGATTACCATTAGGTACTCAGATGATATCACAGGGCGATGGCACTCCGCAGAGACCCAGTGAGCACTCAGCATCTGCCTTGTGCTGCTGGGGTGTTGACGAGGGAGGGGATGGGGATGCGGATGATCTTCATCCCCATCGATAACATTAACCAGCTCCCGAATGGCTACCAAGCAACATTCTAAGTGGTTTATATGTACTAGTTCGTTGACTCCTCGCACCCCAGGGTAGTAGGCAATACGATTGTCTCCATTTATAGAGGAGGAAATGAATGCACAGAGAGGTTAAGGAACTTGCCCAGAGTTGCAGAGCTAGTAGGAGACAGGGCTTCTCTGCTGTTTTTCCATGTGCAGATGGGAGTCAGCCCTCCCTTTGGGGACCCTTGTAGTAAATAAAAGAGCAGGTATAATTGAGGGTGACGTGTACAGTAAGGGAAGTACGTGATGAGGGTGTGGATGAGGGCGAGAGTAGGTACACAGCATTGCTCAACGCCAGGCACATCTTCCCATTGAACTTTGCCACCACCTCTGTGAAGCAGGTTTTTTATGGAGGAAGAACTCCAGGCCCAAACTGATTCAGCTTATTGGTTGAAAGTCACATAGAAAGTGGCAGAGTCAGGATTTGAACCCGTGATCTGAACTCTACTCAGCCCTCCAGAGATACCACAGCCTGAAGGCTTGGGGAGGCCTCTTGGAGAAAGTAGCACCTGAACCAGGATTGGGGGATCGATGGGGGCTTCTGGGGGCAGGGTGGGAAAGGTATTCCTGGCAGTGGGATGACAGGGACAAAGGCGGGGGGGGGGACCCACTGTGGCCCAGCATGGTCACTGGTTGGATGGATGTTCCTGGAACACAACGGGGGTGGGCGGGGAGCAGCAGGAGATAATGGGAGGTGGGGAGGGGGGGTGGCAGGCTTGCTGTCCCTGAGGGCAGTGAGGAATTCCTCAGGAGAGGGACAGGACCAGAGTTCACGTGGTTGCGTACAGATGCGATGAAATTCCAGGCTGCTGGTACCATGAAGGCAGAGCAGGACAGTGAATGTGATGATGAAATCACCTTTGTCAGGCCTCACGTGGACATCCAGGAGTGCTCGTATTTTTGCCTGGCCTCTAGCGCCAAGCCCTGGGCACATCCAGCTGCCAGCGGAACAGCATTTTCTTAGGTCTGGAGCGCCGCAACATGTTGCTGACTGAGGTTCACTTCTCCACCCCCTCAAAGCACAATGCGCACACGAGCACTGTGAAATGTTAGAAAGAGAAGTGACTCAGTCATGCAACCTGAGGCTAGCTGGGACTTCCAGACCCCTGCTCTGCAGACCATGCTCTCCTCTGGCAAGTCTTCTCTGAGACCGGAGGCTCCCCGAAAAGCTGATGAAAACCTGCACCCTCGCTTTGTGGGAGACGAGAGAGGGACAGACGTAACGGCCAATGCATGGGATTTCTGGGACCATGGAATATGCCATTGGCCTTCACAGCTAGACCATGACTCATAAGGCCCAGAAATCCTGGAGTGGCCACTGTTTACTGATTTTAGGATGGCAGAGATAGCCTGGAGCTGGTGTTTCCAATGACTGTTTAGAGATATGGGTGTGAGGGGCTATTTTGGCCTAGGGTCCTTTTAAGTGCTTCAGGATGAGTAGGACCTAAAGTTTGCATTCAGCCTCCGCCCCTGCCTGTCTACCATGTTTGTAGCCCAGGCAAGAATCCTTTTCTGTCAAGAGACCAGGAGAAAAATAAGACATTGGGAGTTCCCCCAGGATGCCAAGGCCTCCTAGGGGGGCGGATATTGAATTTACTGGACATGTGGCCTGTAATGTCAATCCTCCTGCCATAGTTTCCTTTAACAGGACCTTCCGGTCTTTTAAGATACTCCCAACCATCAGCCAGATAGTTGCCCCGCTGTGCCGCCCCCTGCTGGAGCCCAGCACAATTATTCTTGTTTGTAACTGGTTCTTTTAGGCGGTCACCAGAGCTTTGCTATTAAAACATTAGGCCAAGGGAGAGATTGCACACCTGATCTTGTCAGCCTCAGCTTGCAACCCTGCAGTAGCTTCCAATGCTCTTGGGACTAGAACGTGTTCTGAATTCAGCTTACAGGGCCCCAGCAGATGTGGCCTCTACCACTCTATCTTGGTTCCCCTCATTCTCATACTCTCTCTCCAGAACACCCGTCTTCCCCTGCACTCAGCCTGGCTAACTCCCCTTCACCCCCCAGATCTCCATGTCAAGGAGCCCCTCGAGAACCCCTAGGCTAGGACGGCTCTTCCCGCTATGCACAGCCCTTGGGCTCTCCCTGGTATCCCGTTCATCTTATCCTAATTCCTTGTTCTTGTGCCTGCGTCCCCCGCTTCAATGATCCCCACAGCACAGGACTGTTTTTGCCTGATGTCCTGCTGCATCCCCATCCCTTAGCACCATGTTGGGCACACACTAGGGACTTGGCAAATAGCTATCTAATGAGAAATTGTGGAGCAAGGGGTCAAGAGCAATGGGCTGGCACAGTGAGGAAGATACTTCAGTGCCATGTTACGGTGTTTCATCAGAGTATGCCTGCCTGCCTGCCTGCCTCTGTCTACTTACCTGTGAGCTGGCCTCCATCTGGCCCTGGGTGATGCACAGGGCTGTGCATGAAACAAAGGAGGTGATCAAAGGAAGTTAGAAGAAGCCAGTGAAAAAAGAAAAAAGCTGGTGAATAACACGCTTTTTCGTTACTCAGGAGCCTTGCCTCTTTATAAATCTGCTCCCAGGGCCAATTATTTCTTTCCTGGTCAACCCACCTTCTCTGACTTGGAAACCTAGCCTGATTAGCCCTGCACTGAAGCCACCCTGCAGAGGGACACTCTGGGCTGGCTGAACGCTGGCCTAATTTTTGCAGAGCAGGAGGATCCTGGCTGAGCACAAGTCAGCCTGCAGCCTGCTGTAGATTTTTCCTGGGGCTTCTCCCCGCGCTCACATTTAACCTTTGCTTTCTTGCCACCTGCCTCCCATGATTGTCTGTGAGCATGCCGGCCCTTCCCAGCCCCGCATGGCGTCCATCGGAGCCTCATTTGCACCACCTGGAGATTTCCAGGCCTCTTCCCCTCAGTATAAAGAAGAGTGGGTTCCTTCCGGAGGCTCCTAGGGAGTTGGGAAGATCCTCGGGGCCTGCGAGAACCAGAGGAAAGAGCTGCTTGGGTAAGAGGTATCTGCGGACCAGAGAGAAGCCCGGATCATTTCAGACTTGCCCGTGAACCTCTAGACTGGCTGCTCTTTAGAGGCAGACTTGTGCTGGGAGCAGAGCGAGGCATGGCTTCCTAGCTCCAGTTGTCTTTGAACTTTTAGAAGCATGGGGTTGGGGAGTAATGGGAGAAGAGGGAAAGTTGGAGACACAGGACCTCCGGGGCTCTGGGGTCTGGGAACTGCTGGGCAGAAGCATCTGGGTGGACTGTGCTGTAATTGAGTCTGAGTGGCTGGCTGGGACTCCAGGGGGAGAGCTGCTGCCCTACCTAGAGTCTCGTGCCCACCCCCACCCTTGCCCGGGAGACTGGGAGCCCCATGCTTGGATGATCGTCCCACTATGACTTTATCTTTTAGGGAGAGGTGCTTTCCCCAAACAGAACTGGGTGCAGGTACTAGAAGAAGGGGTAAGGGGTGCTAAGCAGGCGAAGAATAGAACCATTGTTGTTACTGCTGGTTATCTTAGCAAAGCCCATCCTGCCCTTCCTCCAGCCTTGGCGCTGGGGAACCTGAGAGGCTCCCAGCCACCTCCCACCACTCCAGTCCCTTTCCAGACGCAAGTGTGATGCTGCGTTCAGGCTTGAGCACATTTCTTCAGTGTATCCAAAAGCTGCTTTGGGTCGTAATGTTCTTGGAGTGAAGCTGGATGTCTCTCTCATAGGCAACTCTCCGTGAGAACATCTTGACCTCCTTCTGCGAGTCCTTGCCTCTGGCAATTAGAGAAAAAGCCCCGCTTGGGTTGAGACTCGGTAGGAAGTGGTGCCCACTGCAGATTGCCCCTCTTGTCCCAGGACACCCAGAGCAGGCGGCTCAGTCCTCCGGAAACCACCCCAAAGTGGACCAGAGCTCTGTGTCTTACTCTGGCTCCCCGCTCCCCCTCCCCACTAGCCCCTGTCCTCTAACTGCCACGGTTTCTCTTTGCAGCAGAAAAGAACACCTCTGGAATGATAAGCCGTCCTTCTCCAGGGAGGATGGAATGGATCATCCCTCTGATTGTGGTCTCAGCCTTGACCTTCGTGTGCCTCATCCTTCTCATTGCTGTGCTAGTTTATTGGAGGTGAGTAAGCCAGGCTGCACCTACAGAGGGGATGTGGGGGGCTAGGTTCTGCTGTAAGCACCCTGCCCTGGGAGGGGCAGGGTGTGGGGAGAGGAAGCCCAGGGCCTCTCATTCAGTAAGGTGAGGCAGCTGGAGTGTGTCTAGGGTCACCACCTGGGGGATCTGCTTTATTTGGAAGCAGCTGGTGGGCTAGAGCCACGATTGAGATCAAGGCACTTAGGAGGAGCTTCTGTGATTGAGTGCCAAAGGAGATTTTGCTTGGGAATCAGGGACATCCAGGTTCAGACCCCAGCATTGATACTTGCTGGATTCAAATCCCATTTCCCCCTTAAGCTTTAGTTCCTGAACCTGCAAAATGAGTGAATAAGTTTCCTAGCATTTTCAGGTTCTCTGGGGCCATGTTTCACTTTGTTGTATCTGCACAATAACCCTTCTTGACTTTAAGATGTTTGTGAAAGCCTTTTGCTGAAAAATCAGGTGATAGGGAAACATTTAGTGTATCATGTGGCATTTAATACACGTAATATAAAAATGGCTGATTTTTAAGTCTTCCCTGAATTATCACTGTCCTTGAACTGGTTCTCACTGTCTCCCCCCCCCCCCCCCTTGGGAAGCCTGCTTGCAGCTTCTGTTTAAAAGTTCTGTGTTTTCCAGCTACATTCTCTGAGGCAGTGTAACTGAGTGAGGCCAATTGGCCCACTTGGTTGGCCTGGCTACCTTCACCTCTGACTACTGTAGGAGGCTTCTGCCCTTGAATGAGCTTCCTCTGTGATGAACAGGTGTCCTGTTTCCATCCCTTGCTTCCTTTCTTGCCATTCACTCAGTTAATTTTGAGTTCCTGTTATATGCCAGACAGTCTTACCTCCTGGAACTTACTTTTTAGTGGGGGAGACAGGCAAAGCACATAAGTAAGATATGTGATACTTAAAGTGATGGTAAGTGTGTAATGGAGAAAATTAAATCTGGAAACGGGAGGGGCATTCTGGGACTTAGGTTGAGTATTCCAAGTAGTTAAGGAAGCCCTAAGTGGCAAGTGATATTTGAACAAAGACCTAAAGTAGGAGGGAGTCAGATGGGCTCCACTGGGGGCAGGTGACAAGCAGTGGAAACTGCACGTGCAAAGGCCCTGAGGCAGGAGTGTGCCCCAGCACGTTTCAGGCATAGTGAAGAGGTCAGTATGGCAGGTGAGCATGGGGGAGAGTGGTAGGAGAGAGGATCAGGAAGAGATGGGGTACGTTGCCTTTCACCCTGAGATAAGTAGGGTTTGTGACAGAAGTGTGCTATGATCGGACTTCTGGGTTACCTAGCTGCTGTGTTGCAAAAAGCCTGAAGAGGATCAGGGGTGCAGCAGAGCAACCAGCCGGGAGATTGAACAAGTCCCGAAGGAGGTGTTGAGGGGGTAGCAGTGCAGGTGGTAGGACTCAGTTGGATTTAGACCTATTTTGAAGGTGGGATCAACAGAATCTGCTGGCAGAAGGGCTGTGGGTCCCTGGGCCCGTTCTCGATTCCGTAGAGCCAGGGGATAATGAAGGGTTCATCTCTGGCTTCCGCAGGTGCCTTTTGGCACCTGCAGCACCGTGAATATTGCAGACCGGCTTGATCATGAAGTTCATCGCGTTTGGGTGAGCCCAGGAACACTGGACTCCCCTCCCTGTTGTGCCGCCTCTAGGACACAAAGTGGTTTGCAAACAAACACTGGTCTGGAGCCCATTGGTAAATGGGAAGCTGCCCGACGTGGGTTAAACTGAGCACACAGAAGTAACAAAAGGTCTGCACGCTCCGCTCTTGGCTCTGCGCAGTACCGTGTGTGTGGTTTTAGTCGCAGACCCTCTCCGCGGAGGAGTAGAGAGCATGCACAGCTGCCCCCGGACTGGACACGGTTGCTTGGCAGCCCTGGCGTGAACAAGTTCCTGCCCTAAGCAGTTGTAGCGAAAACCTCAGGACTGTTTCTCACGGGCCCACCTTGGTCCTCTGCCCATCCAAGAACAGATCACTGTGAACAAGGGCTGTGAGGCCAAGCATGCACAGAGCCCAGGCCAGCCAAAACATGCATGTTGACACTACAGCCTACGTAGAGGAAGGGCCTGTGTCCTACAATAAAGAGAACTTTATTTTTTTTAAAGATTTTATTTATTTGACAGAGAGGGAACACAAGCGGGGGAGTGGGAGAGGGAGAAGCAGGCTTCCCGCTGAGCAGGGAGCCGGATGCGGGGCTCGATCCCAGGACCCTGCGATCGTGCCCTGAGCCGAAGGCAGACGCTTAACGACTGAGCCACCCAGGCGCCCCAAGAGAACTTTAAGACCCTTCCATTCGAGATGCTTTCCCATTAGAAAATGACAACTGTCTATACTTCCAAAAAAACTGGGTTTGAATAGAAAATGTTTTGAATAATACTTGATGTATCAATTGTATGATTTTTATATATACATACCAGTTTGTATATATTCAAAGCTGGATTTAAAATAACCAGAAGTTTCAATGTCAGTGGACTCTGCACACGAGCATTCACTAGACTCTTCCTGCCAGTCCACAAAAGGAAATACGAGGGAGAACATTCTTACAGATGAAAGTAAAATTGAATTAGTATTAGGACGGATGAGTTGGCTAAGCATGAGAGCAGCCAAGAGGCGACAAGGACCTACTTTCTGTCCAACTTTTTTGTTTCTCATGAATGTGCAAGAAGGAGGCACTGGGGAGCTCACACAGAAAATTGGTAAGTGTGGAAGAGACGTGCATTTCTCACCGGCGGCGAGGTTTTGAAGCTAGGACCAGAGTGCTAATCTTCTGCCTTTTGAGGCACGGGAAGAGCAGGTGATTGCCAGACAGACTTGACCTATATAGAGCATTGAGGCAGATCAAAACCTTCTGGATTGTGTCCTCGGTGGCAGGCCTGGCACTCAGGGGTTCAAACCAGCTTGCTGTGATGGCCTTTTCTACAACCCGGGGCTGACCCTTTGCAGCCCTTTGGTTCCTGAGTGTGTTGCAGTCCTTGACACTGCAATCGAATGAATTCATGAAACATGAATTCATGAGCTCTCTGAATTCTTTTTCTCCACCAGTGTCCCCTTGTACGATGATGATCGTGCTTGCTGATGTTTCCCGAGTCCCTTTTTAAGTGGCAGGTACCACGCCAAGCGCTTGCGTGGCACCATCTCCTATGATTGTGTAAACCTTAGGGCAGGTACCATTATCCCCATTCAAGAATAAGGGACTGGGAGCTCCTGGAGGTCCTGTAGAAAGTGGCGAGCTCCGGTTTTGAACATAGGGCTTCTTCACTCTAGAATCCATAACCCTATTGAAGCATCAAGATGCTGGTCTCCCGCCTCCACACTGTGAAAGCTGAGCATGACCGACATTCAGTGAAGTCAACAGAAGGTGGGATTAGTGGGCCTGTTGTGCCACGGCCTTCCTGTGAGCCTCCCCTGCTAGCTTTGACCAGTGGAAGATAAAGGAACTAATGTTTGTTGCAGGCCCACTGTGGGCTAAGCAGTGTGCAGTATCCCCATACACCATGTTGGAATTTACAAAAATCTATTTCAAAGTGCCCTAAGCACAAAGGGCCGGAAAATCCGTTGATTCATGGAATGGAACAGTTTGGAGCATTAGGCCCAGCTAGACGGGCAAGATGCAATGAGGACAGCAGGGCCTGGCTTGTGTTGTGTTCCTGTGTTTGTCTCCCTCTTTGTCTCTGGGGTCTGCTCTCCCTGTGTTGGCTTTTCTCAGTGGCCGTGGCCCACATCAGACTTCTATCCTCCCAGCCCAGTAGAAAGGGAATTTCTCTTCCCTGACGGTTCCGGTTAAATCTCCAGATGGTGTCTCTTAGAACAGACTCCGGTCATTTGTTCACCCCTAGAACCTTCTGGAGCAGAGAGATTAAAGACTTTGGTCAGGCCTGGCTCTTTGATTAACTGTGGAGCCGAGAAGCGAGGTCTTTGCCATCGTAAACCACATGCACTGAAACTGCACAAGGGGTGTTTTCCCAAAGGACCCTCAAAGCCCAGAAAGGGGACCGGATGCAGGTGCCAGGCAGACAGAAGCAGCCAACGTTGGCTCCAAAAGAAGCTTGGAAATTAAATGAGGAGGGGAGGGATTTCTGCTGAGAAAAGGGAATTCTGACTTGGATAGCAGAGAATGACACATGGGAGTAGGAGGAAAGCAACAAAGTAGGCACATAAGCTCAGCCTGGTCAGCTTCGGAGTCTCAGTGAGGACTGTTGCCACAAATGCATGGGCCACGGACTGGGAAAAGGGCCACTTCCAGTCCCATCCCAGCTGCAGGATCATTAGAGCATGATATAGCAGTTGAGCAGTATCATCGTGTTGGAGAAATGATAACGCTGTTTCTTCTGTTGCACGGGCACTTCCTCTGTTCATGCGGTGCTTCTGTCGCACCTGCGGCCCATCGTGCTGGGCCTGGGGATTTGGGGATAAGCTCTTTTCTCCCAAGGTCCTTGCAGTCCAGTGGGGGGGGTGGGCAGACGAGTACATAAAATCGAGTATAGAGCATGTTTGGAGGATGAAATCCAAGGGCTTCATCCAGGCCCTGGAGAAGGGGTGGGATCAGGGAAAGCTCCCTGGAGGGCTGATGCCCCAGCTGGGTCTTGGAGAGCAAGCAGCTGGAAACGAGCAAAGAGGGTGTACAGGCAAGGGGCTGGAGAGAATCTGGCCAGTCGTAAACGGGTGCCCATGTTCAGCATTCACTGGAGCAGAGTATGGAGACAGCAAGAGCCAGATCCTGAAGGTCCTGGGTGCCACCTGAAGGGATACATACCTTACCCTAAGCATGGTGGAAAGGCCCTGCGGAACCTCGCTGCAGGAAGGCAAGATGAGAAAGGGGCAATGCTGTGCAGTGGTGAGGGGGCAGCATGGGCCCAGACGCACCCAGCCTGCGTTTGGAGCCAGCTCCACGGCTCAACGACCCATGGCCTCCGAGCAGGTGTCATGAGCAGGTGTGCAGCTATTCCCAAAGGGGTGAAAATGGGTACTTGGGCGTTAACAAA